ATTGGTTTCAAACATTAATTTGGTAATAATCTCAAACTAACTCGTTCTTCAATTATTATCTCCCAAAATGGCTTTTTGGACAACCTATGCTTGAACTCCGGCGTTGGTGCAATTTTATTAGCACGATTTTTGAAACCTCCCTTAAAACAAACTTGTTCAAAGTTATTTCGTTAATTCAAAGTTCAAATTCAACAAGTTATTTGTGTTTTATATTTTTATAATTTGGATGTGACCTGAATACCTAGTTTGAAATAATGAAGAATTCTAATTGAGGTGCACGTCAAGAAGAATTCAATTTGGAATACTATTTGAGTCATATGTCAAGTTGAAATTCTATTTTGGAAGCCAATTGAGAGTTAGAAATTGGTATTGGACTTGAAGAAGAATTTGGAATGGAAAAAAACAATTTGAAAAAAAAAAAAAAAANAAAAAAAAATGAACGTCCTACGCCACAGCACCGGTCTTGGCACCGCGGCACCCACCTGATCTGTTTCGGGTTTTCCGCATTTTTCTTCTCCTACTTCGTTTGGACTCGATATTTGACATTATACGTCATCAACAACTCTACTAAGAGGGTTTGGACGTCCCCTACATATTTCTTATAAATGCTAGACTTTTCTATACAATTTTTTAAGTGTAAGAATATAGATTATTAGAATTATAGAATTCATTGTAATTTTCTCTCTTCTCCATTATTTATGAGTTAATAAAATCTCTTAATTCATCTGTCATATTCTTGTCTTTATTATTCTTTTGCTTGATCTAATACTTCATTATTGTGTCATATAACTTCAACATCTAAATCCGGTGGTTTGTTTCACAACAAGTGGTATCAAAGCAATTCTGGTATCTTATTTGTTTTACAACATATACATTAATAATTTTGGAGATTTTTAAATCACCAAATTAATTTCTAGTTGTACATATGCTACGATATTTTCTATACGCAAGAAATTAATTTGAATAATCAAATATAATCATTTATGTATTCTCATGAAAAGTCATGAATTATTGCCATAATAGTAATACCAACAAGTTCTATTCCTTGAAACAGGAATATCCAATAATTAATGACGTTTTGTTCAATGCTTCTAATCCTTTCTAAGTAAAAATTATTATCTTAATTTAAGTCGTCTTTATCTTGATTGCTTCGTGCAATAACGGTGCCTTTTAAACAAAAAAAAGTAATTATTTGTGTATTTGTAATGACATGTTTCATAAATTGAACATGATAAAATTAAGGAAGAGGCGTGAAATATTACATTCACTCCACATATTCGATCGCTGAAAGTAGAATTAGTGTGATAATTAATAGAGCCCTCAAACTAATCTTCCTATTGCCTTAGCTACAAAAATACTAAAGGTGTAGTCCGCCGGTCGGCATATAGCGAAATTTAGGAGGACTACTTTTCATTCTTCAAAACATGAAAAACCCATTCCGTCGTTGATCCAGTGTAATAAAGAAGTAGGGCGTTTCATTTCACTCAAAATCCGTCACTTTAATTTGTTCTATCCAATCTTATTCAATCTTGATTAATCGTTATAAATATCCTTAGGGCATATATCGTAAGCAATATCATTATTGAATTACAAATCCAACAAGATTGCTTTTCGCTGTCTTTTCTTGACGCATGGTAAGAAGTAAGTGCACAAACTATTATTGATGTTTATTCAAACGTGACAGCAACCATTGGGCTTCACCAAATTTGGTAAAATATCGAGTATGATTTGCTTGTTAGTTGGAACTTCTCTATCTAACATATAGTGATATAGTCTTATAACCAATAATACACTGACATTTTGAAGCTATGTTATGTGCATATTAGTTTCCTTTGCAATATATCATTGGACTATGAGGAAAGAAATCGTGTACAAATAATTGAGTCTTGAAAATATCAAATTACAGTAGAAAATATAATCACAAGTGAATAACATACCAAATAGATCATATATATATACATATATATATATATATATATATATATATATATATATATATAT